TATTTAGTAGAAAAAGCACACGGGTACTTACATTCTTCTGTAGAGACCTGTGGAGAGAGAGAAGCAGAGTCAAATATCTTTCACCAGCAGAGGTCAGCATTGAGTTAACACAGCTTCAAACGATCAATTAGAAACCCAACCACCCAGTCAATGTCACAGAACATCAGTAAATTCAGCAACATCAAATAGCACTGCAAACCAGGTCATTTTTACATGGCTTCTTAAAACAGCCTTTTCTCAGGCCTACTAGTAAAACACTATGTTTTTCTGTCTGCTGTGGCAGGCGGTACCGCAGTATCAGGACCAAGACTCAGGGACAGTTTCATCCCCCAGGCAATGAGACTGCTTAATGCCTGAGCTCTGTTAAGTACCTCCATAACCCAACGCATTCATCTGGTTGCATCTTAGATTTATTTAATTTATTATCTTAATAGTTATCACTGGATCAAACAATATTTATTTAGTATAGTAGTACTGCAACGGCAATACTTGTAGACTGGTCTAGCAACATAACCTGCACTATTTTATTCAACTTTATCGAACTCTGTTTCATTTGCAATATTTATTTATTTGGTTGTCTTATGTCCTATATATAATATGTTGCATTGTTGGAGAAGCTCGGGACCTAAGATTTTCATTGCTGTAACTACACTGTAGTGCATATGATAATAAAATCCTTGAAGCTTGAATATTTTTCAAGGTGAAGGTCTAAATGCTGTTTCAAAGCCGTTCCTACTATGCCATTAATTAAATTATAATGGATACATATTGCTGGGTATTTAATTTCAATACCTTTTGGTCATATAGTATTGATTATCAAGAAGTGTCGGTCAAAAAGTTATTGATTTAAATCCTGTGTAAAGGATCAAACGTGCTTATATTTCCTAAACTAATCATATATGCACTGATATTAATATTTAGCGTGAGATCCAAAAGTAGTCAATTGAATGTATATCAAATCTATATACAAACAAGAAAGGAAGAGGAAAACAAAAAGAGAGTTATTCTTTAAACACACAAGCTCAGATTGTTTCTTATGACAGACTGTGGTTTTGTATCAGTTGGAACGAACAAGAGAACCTGGTCATATTCAACTATCGGTTATTATTCTCTTCTCTCAGACGTTACATTTGGGGAAGTGTTGTCGAAACACTGTTCTTCCTCATCTCTATTGCTCTGAAACAACTACAAGTGCTGACAGCAAACAACAATATCATGCACACAGACACAGACACAGACACACACAGACACACACACACACACACACACACACACACACACACACACACACACACACACACACACACACACACACACACACACACACACACACACACACACACACACACACACACACACACACATACCTGTACACATTCTTGGCCACAAAACTCAAACTCTGTATTTCTACCATGGTTATTTCCTGTGTCCTGGTATCAGTACTAAACACACAGCTCTGATTCTACATTACTTATTAGCTAAAACCTCATCAGCCCAGAGTGACTCGCTGACATGTAGCCTTTCAGTTTGTTTACCGCACAGCTAAACATTAAACACATTGCATCATTGCTCAAACCTTCATCATTCTCTCAACTACAAAGATAAACCTCAATCATTAACTCCTGATAATGTTGGAATATCTTTACAATTACAGCAGTCCTGCATCACACCAGGTTGTACTTCAACATGAAATATGTTAATGTTTAAACAACATGTTAGACACAACATTAAGCTGCAATTAGTGATTGTTCTCATTATTGTGTGAACTTTCATTAACATCTTCGATTTCATCAACCAATTATATAGTATTTGGATTGTGGAAAAATATCATATCTTTATTTCCTGTGACATCTTCAGATGTTTTTTTTTCTGACCACCGGTCCATACCGCAAAGATAATTAATCATTTTAGTTTAAAAAAATTACTCAAACTATTAAAATATTGATTATTTTTCGGAAATGTGTACATTGTTGATTCCCTCAGGATCTAAATAAAATATCATGAATATGGTACAAGGTTGTGTGCATTGGCTTTTGTTTTATGTATCTGATCAACTATTATAATGAACAGTGTATATCTGTTGTACTTATTTCTTATATTCAGAATTATAGTGACAAGATATTGTTTAAAGAAATATTTATTGTTATTAATTATTCACGGTAATAAGAGTAAATTGGAGTTAGACATCTTATAAAGAATAGAGCATATTAAGATAGGCCTTACAACCTAGCAACTCAAACATTTGTCAGCCCAGGAAGCCAGGGGGAAAAAAGTGAAAGGTTAATTTTGCTCTGAGGTTGACCTTTTCACTCACCCGTCCCTGGAGAGAGGCGTCTACTTTTTTTTTCTTTTTCTGTTAACAACATTGACCCTACCCTTCCTTTCATTCCTCTGGGACTCTTTTCTCCTTTATGAAGTACAGCGGTGCCATCCCAGCATTGTACAAGGAGTTTAAGGGGTCAGTGCTTTGAGGATCTGGTGAAGCCAGGGTGTTTAGTGTCCGACAACGTTAGTTTAACAGAGTGCAATTATAACAAACATTTAATTGAAATATAATATATTTTAGAAAAGGCAGTATTTAGTTCTAAAAATAAATATTAACAAAACGACAGATTATTTAAAAAAAAAAAAAAAGTACATTAACAGGAGGAACAGTATGAGGAAGTATAGGCCTACAACAAAACTGTACTTCTGCAGTTTATGTGGGGTGTAAGTGTGGCTGAGCTTCACACTAACGCCCTGTCAGATAAAGTGGAACTGGGGAAAATGTCTCACTTTATGTAATTTAGTGACACATATGTTATATTTCCCCCAAAAGTAAGGCAAGGCAAGGCAAGGCAAGTTTATTTATATAGCACCTTTCAACACAAGGCAATTCAAGGTGCTTTACAAAAATGAAAGACATTCAGACAAAGGCATTTAAAAACAGTCATAGGAGTAGAGTTTGTTTTTAGAAATAAAAGAGAATCTCTAGACTTTAGTTGTTAAACTTCTAATCTAACTAATCTGAACTGGGCAAACTATGTCTGCTGATAAAGATCATGTGATATAATCAAAAGCTTCAGAATAACTAGTAAAATAACCTTGTAGTGCATTTATTTCCGCCACTGCTGCTGTGGTTGAAAATTAAATCTGAACCTCAACAACAGAAACATGTAGGCCTACTATTTATTTATAAAGCACTACAAAAAATGTAGTTTGTGTAGTGAAATACATTTTCATTTAATGGGACGACAAACTTAAACATTACATCAATTCAACGATAGAACTTTAACTGTTTCTGGCTCCAGATACAGTATAAAACAGCTCACTGTCAGAAAAAGTAAACTTTCTCGATCTATGCATGAATCTCATGTTTTCATCCAAATGTTCTTTTTAAATGGACCTCGGAGGGTGTAAATTCTCTGAACTATGATTCCCAAATGCTTTATTTCCCTTGGCGCTCTTCCTAAGTATCACTTATGTTCCTCCTTACTAAATAAACAAAACAACTTCTCAAGCCATTATGCCTTGGCACTGACTCAGAGAGCAGAAATAGCTCAAACCCAAATTCCCATTTGGGATATACTGCCCAAGAAATACTCAAGTTCACATAATGGACGTCTTTTCATGCATATCTACTGGGACTCAGCTCCACCCATCTGTACATGCTGAAACACTCAGTCTATCTCTTAAATCAGGATCTTAGAATCACTTAATTACTGGGCAAATGTGTACGTACAGTCAAAAGGAATATTCACTTTTTATATGGAAGCCAATAAATACAAATAATAATTTGTCAGCTTGTTAGAACATGCAGTGGAACATCTCAAATGAAATAAGATCTCCAGCGTTACTTCTTCTAAAACAATACTCCCACTTGAGGAGCACTTCTTTATTTTCATTGTGAAAAGGCTCTTGGCTTCGACTCAGCCAATGACCCTTTTGCCCTGTGTACTGTATCTCTGCCCTTTGACTGGGCCTGTCTGCATGGGGAGGAGGAGGAAATGGCTGTACTGACCACTATATAAACATTACATCAACCCTAAAGGCAGCCTGCCTGCAACTCTCTGATTCCCTTTCATTCCCAGTAGTCTGCGTTTGCTGCTGATAACAACACGGTTCCTTCCTCCATAATAACAGTCAAGACTCAAAAACAATCAAGAAATCACATTAAAAGATGTTGGGTCAGGCATTAGCCTATTTAAGCTTAGCACATTATAATCAGATAAATTATTTAAAAAATTGAAAATATAAGAACAATTCTTTATTAATGGTCTTAATAGAAAGTGGATTCAAGAAAGTGGTGGAATTTCTTGCTACAAAAATTATGTTATTTGGCAAAACCAAAATATGTAGGTGTCTTGATGATTAGTACAGAGCCCTGCAGGGTTCATTGAGAGAAAAATAAATAAAACGTGGCCACGTTTTACTTTATCGTTCGCACGAGTTAATAAAGCGTGCGCACGAGTTAATAAAGCGTGGCCTCGTTTTATTTAAATTGAGGGATTCCTGTCCGTGACTCGCAGTATCTGCTGCCCACAGCTGTTTTATAGAAGGAAAACCAAACCTCCTTCACTTTATGAATCTCTGCGGCACCAGTGGCCTGTACTATACGAAGCAGTTTGCTATTTACACTATTCATTCATGAAGTATGACGCTGCGCTGTCAGCACGCGTCTCCATGTTTGTGATTGGTCAAATGTTGCTAACCCCGTCCCTTTCACGTGAACGCGCTCTCAGCCGGTCAGAAACCCTGGTTGATTTAGAGTTGATAACCAGCTTCGTATGACCGCTTAGCGACATCGCGTTTGTTAGGGTTAGTTAAACCGGGTAAATCGAACATATCCAGGGTCTGTTGAACTGGCTTCGTCGTACAGGGCACTGGAGGCAGTAACGTGTAACTCAGCAGAATCTGAGAAGAGCAGCACCAGCTGCAAAGAGCTGTGCCTTTTACTGTTTACTTCACTGCGTTTCCCTTCATTAGAACAGCTGAATAGAGATCGAGGCTGCTACGTTTAACCACATACACCTCTACACACATCTACCAGAGTATTCCCCCTCGTTTTATGAAGGAGATGTCCTGTCACCGCGGCGCACGATGTGTGTGTTTGTGCTGTACTCGTGCGCACGAGTTAATAAAGCGTTGGCACGAGAAGGTATCTTGTGCAAACGAGAAAGTAAAACGTGGCCACGTTTTATTTATTTTTCTCTCTATGAACCCTCCAGGAGTACCACCACAAATTGCTGAAATATTTTTTCTCCACCCCTGAAGGTAGAAATAATGAAGAAAGTATTGGGTAAGAAGTTAGAAGGGCTTTATGTTAGCTGGGCTTTTGTGTGAGGGATTGTCTCCCCACACACTCACATACGTCAGTGTTGTTTTTGTGACACTCACTTTGTCAAAGTCTGGTTCTGCTTCAGTGGCGTTGGGATCCAGCTGGTTGTGGAGCCTCGGCCCCGACACAGCTTTTTTCAGATCATAGTCAAAGAACAGTGCATTTAGAATCACCTTCAAAACATCAAAGATTTTAGACAATTATAACCCAACAGAGTAATTAAATAGTTGAATAAATGCAACTCATTGATTTAACTTCTTGCAATTTTACCTGAACGATAGAAGTTGTGATTTTCGTTCCTCCTGAGCCTCCAACCACCATCTTAACTTTGTTGTTTTTGTCAAAGAGGATAGCCGGACACATGGAAGACATTGGCCTTTTTCCTTTAAACAGAAATGGCATTATATGTAAGTTTAAGTATTTTATTGGTTTATGTTAAACATTATTAAAATAATGTGTATGTAACTACATAAAATATCTATTTAAAAACAAGTTGTATGTTGGATATTAATCATTTTTTTGAATCTATTCCACATTGTATTCCAGATGAATAATTATACTGAAGTTCAGAATACGGCTACTGGAGGCACTCTTCTAGTGTCTATTGGTGTTGTGTGGGTGTTTACTTGTATATGCCTACGGTTCTAAAAATGAAAAGACTACTGCGTGCCCTGGCGAGTTGGAGAGCCACTAGCGTCTTCTACCTTCGCGACACGGCCGGTGGTCGTGGTAGTTGGATGGCATACTTGGAGGATTTGACTCAGAAAATTGTTTATAGAACAGCTGCGTTACAACACCAAAATGCACAGGTACAAGGGAGGGAACCCAAGGAATTGCAATTACCAAAAGTACGTCAAACCCCGAGAGGTTCCATTACAGTTCCAGTTGTCCCTATCGAAAGAGTTGCTACTCTACCCTGCTGAAGACGAGAGGCGAGCGCTTGAAGCTTCCACGCAGCGGAAGTAGGTGTGTTGCAAGTAGTCTGGTCCAAGTCCTTATGTTTGTGTGTGTGAGTGTGCCTTTACGTGTATTCACGAGAATTTGGTCATCCTCAAAAATTATATGTATCCTGACCGACCCTGTCAATCTTCTAGCTAGACAGGAAAGTGTGAGACGTTACTACAAAAATTTATTACAAAACAGGAACTCAATCGTATGGTTTTTTTACGCCCTAGTTTTACAGAGGTGGGGAGAAGACCTTCCAGAATAGAAAATAATAAAAATGAATAATAAGGTTATGTTTGTTTTTTTTTTCTTTTATATAGAAATTA